GTTTTGGAGGGAGTTACTTCGTTTCCGGAAGGCTGTTGTTGGTAAACCTTATCACACCACTTCTGGGAATCATCGCACAGCTGTACAGGGAACTGTAATTGAGATTTGTAAAAGCGAAAACATGAACAATAATATTATCAAAGTTTGGTGCACATTTACAGACTCGTGCTGTTACGTAATCTAGTTCACATCGTAACAAAAATTAAAATTAAAGTATGTGCAGCTAGGATTATTGCAAATCGCACTATAGCGTCCCGTTCGTGTTTTCTGTGAAGTGTTGCTGACTATTGACATTTTAGGTGTGTCCGACCAGACGATGTTAATTGGTAGCTCTTCGTGCCAGAAATTATACACAAATGTTTGCACTAATTCTGTATTGGACGTTGAATCTTTGGCATAAAATCGATTTTAAATTTCCTTGACTGGTTCGTCGTTTAGTTTTCATTGGTCGGATTAATCGTATCTATATTACATATTGACGAATGTAAGAGTGCTTTAAAGAACTTTTATTGGCAATAAGCATATTAACTTCGTTGAATGGTGCAAGTTTAATACAGATTTTTTTTTCTCCGTCATAGGTTATAAGCGTAACCAGGATGACAACCTGCGAGTGCGTAGTTAATGTACGTCAGAGCAATTGAATTTGCGTGTGATCACGTAATGGAAAACCGAAATGAGCATTCTGAAATGGTTTAAATGTTATGAAGGTTTCTAAACACCTCAAGTTTTCATTTATTAAACGTGGTACTAAGTGGAGAATGTTGTGACTCAGTCCGCGAATCGTATTCGCTGAGAACGTGTAAGCTAGAAAACGCTGAAATCGGATTCGACCTTACGGTTTTGTACGTCAGTTTGTTCATTTTCTTAACCGGTTCAACCCTTGTTTTTGCTGAAACTCGAAAAAAGAGCTTCAATTTCCGGGCAGCTTAAAAATTCTTACGCCATCGACGTCAATTGAGTTTTAATGAATGACTATACTTTCCGAAAGGTCGTGTCTCACTTCGTTAGAACTGATTGTTTACTAACGAAGACCTTCACTGCTTC